CTTAGTCTGAAAGGTCTGCTACCATAGATGACTACCATGGGTGACTCTGCTGGTATTTAAAACACTGGTGGCATAGCTTCCAGCATCATAGCAACGTGCTATCTACCACATTACAACAAACTGACAGACAAGTGGGCGTCACTGATTATAGTACATTGTAAATATTAGAAATAAAAGTCCAGAGGTTTTAATTTGGTGGTAGATTTCTTACAAATAATATGAAGACTTGCTTAATTAATGCCTTTATATCTTTAACAGTTTTGATTAAAGTTCTTTAGTATCCTTGACTCACTATCCTTATGGTTATCTACAGTAAAGAAAAAAGTCATACAAGAAAAATAAGGTTTTAAAATGAAATTTGAGTTATATTTAGAGTACAGTCTTGGGAGCCAAGCTGCCTGATTTTGAATCTGAGCTTTATCACTTTCTAGCTGTGTGAACTTGAGTAATTTGATTAACCTGTTTAAGCAGTCAACAGATGTTAGTGATGAACAGTTACTCATTTTGTAGAATTTCTTATATCCTTAAACTCTATTCCTTTCGGAAGAGAGTTAGAATATTATGAATTTAGTGTGATACTTCTTTGACATCTTTACTTTGTTTCTTGCAGGTATCTCTCAAAGAAGCAAGGACAGTAATTATAAGTTACACTGGAAGTTATTGATGATACTTGAGATCCATGAACTTCTTTCTTGCTTTATGCTAGAAATCATTATGATAGTGCTGGACACTGAAGCAAATATCAGACTGCTTATACTTTGTCTTCCAGTTTTTTGTAAATTTAATTTTATATTTTTTGAATATCATAGCAATATGCTTTAAAAAGAATCCATTTTTTCCTATATGTATATACTGTTACTTTTGAAAAAAATTCTCTCCATCATTGATTACAGAGTCTCCCTTCCAATAAAAAAGATGGAGAAAAATGTACGCTCAACAATCTTATTTTGTAACTTTTGAAAAAAAATATGTCTTGTGTCTTGTCTTGTGGTTTGTCTCAATAACTCTAAGACCGAACACATCTTGAAAATAGTGTTTTTCCCTTTAAAGCAAAAAAACCAGAAAACCTACCAGTTTTTGGAAAATGGACCTAGTATTTAAGTATGTTTAAATTACCCAAGAATATGTTATTAATTTGTCATAATTTCTTATCTGTACTCCGCTACTTAGATCTCTAAATTCTGAGCTGTCTCTGGTCTGTATGTGTGACAGTGTTTTTTGAGTAAAACTGGAAAATGTCACCTCTGGTACAGATATGTCATAGTATGAGAAATAGAAAAGATTAAAGAATCAAATAAGGAGCAAGAGTATGTCTCTCTTTGGTGTCATAACTTGAAGCATTGCTGCCTAAAAGCATTGTTATAAAAACAATTAAAGGCAGTCCATTTGAAAGTGGAACATAGCATTGTTTCAGCCCTAAAAAGCATGAACAAAGGTTTTTGTTCTTTTCCAGCTACATTTGTCTAAGTGCAAACACTGTGTTTCAGTAAAAATATTGCCATAGGATTAAAAAATGTTTTTTTTTGCATTGCTTACGCCTGCATTATAGATAATGTAATTTAACTACTGTTTTGTGTTGACAGTATTGCTTTATACAGTTATTGTATTTGAAAGGAATCTGATCCTTTCAAATAAACGTGGTGTATATTGTTCTTACGGGACTATTTCAGTGGTGTAAATAATAAATACCTTTTCTTAAAAAAATTGGTTGTTTATTCTATATTGTCATTTTTCCTCTTTGTTGAATCACAAAACAAACAGGAGTCTCTTGAAAAAAACTAAATTTATATGATTATTGAAGTGTGTATATCACTGATGATGCATTTAGGATTGATTTTAGCAGTTAATTGTTGTTGGTACCATTGAATTAGTTCTGACTCATAGAGACCCTGTACAGCGTTTTCGAAGAGCATGTGGTAGGTTTGAATTGCTGACCTTTTGGCTTGCATTCCTGTGCTTATCCTACAGAGCCATACCAGGAATACTTCACTCAAATAAGCAGTTTTCAAAACGGTGTACGATATTTTTTTTCTGACAAGAATATGTATATGCAGAAGAGTGAGAAAGTTTAAGTGACTTAATTCAGATGTTTCCTAATTATGACCCTAAGTTTAAATATTTAAAGACACAACAGAATTTTCCAACCTATTAATTTCATTGATACATTTTTCCACTGTAATAACTTATTCCAAAGTAGGCATATTGTTAGGTGCTGTCAAGTTGGTTCCTACTCATAGCAACCCTATGCAAAACAGAACAAAACACTGCTCCTTCTGGTGCCATCCTCACAATTGTTATGCTTGAACCTATTGCTGCTGCCACTTTGTCAGTCTGTGTTGTTGGGGGTCTTCCTCTTTTTTGCTGACCCTCCGCTTTACTAAGCATGATGTCCTTCTCCAGGAATGGTCCCCTCCTGATATCATGTTCAAAGTACAAAAAAAAAACCAACCTGGCTTCTGAGGATGATTCTGGCTGTACTTATTCCAACACAGATTTGTAAGCATGGGAAGGACTTAATCTTTTTAAAGAAAATTGACACTAAAACGAAATAAGAAAGAGCAGAGACTTTTGCTTGTTAAAATTTTGTATTTTAGGTTATATTAATCTATATAGTCTAAAATACAAAAATTAACAAGCACCATGAAGCAAAATAGAATAAAAAAAAAATCATTTTCTGCCATTAGGTGGTGCCCAAGTCAAAGATGATTTAACAGGTAGGATTAATTAAACCACTCTGGGAGAATGTAGTCATTGTTCAAGCTTATTGAGATCATGTGTGCTATGTATAGTTAATGCTTTTAGAGTATAGGCATTTGTTTAGTTTGTCTTCTGTATCACCTAGTTTACTGAACAGATCTATATGGAGTTTTGGTGTGACACTGTAGGATAAGCACTAGACCACAAGGTTGGTTTGAAGTGTAAGGTTGGTGGTTCAAATTCAACAGCCACTCCTTGGAAACCCTATGCAGGGTCACTATGAATTGGAACTGACTCAATAGCACTTAACAACAATTAATGGCTAAAATCAATCCTAAATGCATCAGTAGTAATATACATACTTTAAAAGTCATATAAATTTATATCTACGTGACTTTATACAGCATAGCTAGGTGATGACTTCAGATACATATTCCAGTACATTAGTTACTTTTATGAAACTTGTGTCCCAAACTTTCAGACAATTATAGCCTAATAAACCATTTTAACTTAGAAACTACAGAACATCATTAACAGAGCTGTTGGAGATCTAGTAGCCCCTCGAGCTTTTGTTATGAAAATGAGTTAATTGGACTAATAATTCCTACAGCAGTTATTCAGTTTAAAAGTAACAATAGATAAGCAGGTTGTTACAGTAAATAACTGAAGCATGTTCCTCATTCACAGAAAGTAAAAGTGTTTTTTGGGGGTAGTGATGTAACTGCAGGGCAGGGGACTGGGAAAGGTGGTTATGGAAAATAGGAAAACAATTAGGTTATTGGTTACTTCGTAAATGATGGTTACCAAGAGCAGTAATAAAGCATGAATAATGACTCAAGCAGTTGAGGGTTGTTCTCATTTCAAACAACCTTAACGAGACTGGTTATAGTTTCCACTCAAGCCATATTTATACATGAAAACTCATTCATCTTACTAACTGGAATGGCAGTCCAAGAGATGTCTCTATGGATTAAATTATTAGATATTTAAGTAAGGATAAATGTAAGATTTGGAGTCCTGGTGTGGTGCTGTGGGTTAATGTGCAAGACTGCAAAGCCATTTGAAATGCAAGGTCGACAGTTCAAGCCCACCAGCTGCTCCTAGGAAACCCTATACAGAGTTGCTATGGGTCGGAACTCTGGTAGCGTAGTGGTTACGAATCGGGCTGCGAACCATAAGGTCAGCAGTTCGAAACTACCAGCTGCTCCGCGGGAGAAAGATGAGGCTTTCTACTCCCGTAAGGATTTACACCCTCGGAAACCCTGTACAGGGTCGCTATGGGTCGGAACCGACTCGAAGGCACTTAACAACAACAACAACATGGGTCGGAACTGACTCAGCAGCACTTCACAACAAGCTAGATTTGGGGATTGCTTTGAGGAAGTTATGTGAATGTTGGAAGGTGAAGGGTACCAAGTATTTAGACTGAAGAGAAACCCTTAAAGGTTAGTTTTGTATAAGGGTAAATCGAGAAGTAGTGCTACAAAATCATAGAAACCTTTATCAAACAAAATATCAAAATGAGAAGCTATGGTTTCTCCACATTACCCCCATCTAGTCTAGAGTCTTCTGAAGGCAGTGTTCCATCTCTATGCCCCCCAAAGAATTACGTGCTCTTCGATTTATACTTCAAAACCACATGACAGATCTTGATATGTTCTTTTTGATGACCAATAGTTGTTATTGTCAGATTCAAAATGGCCAATACTAGTCCATTCCAGCTCACTAATGTCTAAGGTATCCATGTTTATGTGTTCCATTTCATTTTTGACAATTTCCAATTTTCCTACATTCATACTTCGTATATTCCATGTTCTGATTATTAATGGATGTTTACAACTGTTTCTCTTCATTTTGAGTTGTGCCCCATCAGCAAATGAAGGTCCCGAGGGCTTTACTCCATTCGTATCATCACTGTCAACTCTACTTTGAGGAGGCAGCTCTTCCCCAGTTGCATTTTGAGTGCCATCCAACCTGAGGGGCTCATTTTCCGGCACTATATCTGACAGTGTTTCTCTGCTATTCATAAGGTTTTCAGTGACTAAATTATTCAGAAGTAGGAAATAATAAAGAAGTAAACCAAAAGTCAAGAACAGGCAAATGTATAGATATCACAATTTATTAGCAGATATAAGGGTGGGAGCACTGGTGTGGCAGTGTAGGGTAAGCACTCGATCTCCAGGTCAGTTTGAACCGCAAGGTTGTTGATTCAAACTCACCCGCCACTCCTCAGAAATCCTACATAGGATCGCTGTGAGTTGGAATCGACTTGATGGAATTAACACGGACAGGAGAGAGACTGGGAAAGAGGAGACTGCTTTTGCAGCACTGAGTTTATGGTGATGGAAAATTCACATTGACTAAATGAAGGCTTAGGGTTGCAAAATTGATTAATATCAATAAATTGTACACTTGCTAAAAAGTTGAATTGGCAAATGTTATGAAATTATATATAAGGACTTCTGGTGTGGTGCTATAGGATCAGCACTGGACAGCGAACCACAAGGTTGATAGTTCAAACCCAGCAGCTGCTCCTTGGAAACCTTTTACAGGTTTTCTATGACATGGCAGCATGCATCAACAAATATATATGTATTGTTGAGTGCTGTCGAGTCAGTTCTGAATCATAATTACCCTATATAGGGTTTTTGAGGAGTGACTGGTGAAGTTTGAACTGCCAACTTTATGGTTCAAACCAACCTTGTGGTCCAGTGCATTATCCTGCAGCACCACATCAGGACTCCTGTGTGTGTGTGTGTATATATATATACAAGGAGCTCTGGTAGCGTAGTGGTTACGAATCGGGCTGTGAACTGCAAGGTCCGCAGTTCGAAACTACCAGCTGCTCCGCGGGAGAAAGATGA